ATTAAGGAAGGCTAGGGTCAACTCAAGGGAGATAAAACTTCTCTCTGGGCTTGTTCGGTCCAAGAGTCACTGCGAATGAAGCTCCTTAGTAAGTTTGAGTACATCCAGATGGTACTACGGGGTTTGAAGCAGACAATCCAACACGACCGTAGCACCATCGCTCGTGATCTAGTCCACCGCGATGTGAAAGATAAACAAGCTTCGACCAACCAAGTAAGAACACCTCCATTAGGAGGAATTTCTCCGATCATCAGTGACGATAAGGGCAGGGGTGTAATATGCGAGGAAAACATAACATGCCTAGTGGTTGGTACGTGGTTAAGCTGGAAGATAGAAGCTGATAAAATATAGTAGTCCAAGTCGAATAAGAAACAGGTGTTTTCAGTTCGGATATGCTGTTATATTTGCTGTTGGACAAGCTAAAACGCTGTCAGGTAATGATGCAGTAAATTACGAAGCATCGATTTATGGCGATATTTTGCAAAGCGATTTCATCGACGCATACCGAAATCTCACTTTAAAGGTGAGTTCTTAATAGAGTACAGAAGAATGCTCGCGTACACATGGACAAATTTTGGTTATGCATGGTATTTCATTTTGACGTGAAACGAGAGGTTGATGAAAGAAGTTGTAGAGCATTGCCGCGTTTCGATACGTTGCAGTCACTTGTCCGAATGCACGAGCAGTCGTCAAGTTGAACGACGTCATCGGTTGGAATATCGAGAACTCAAAGCCTATAATCGCTAATGCTATAGAGGACGGAAAAATCCATTGCAGTCGGTAGGCGTTTCTTTTTGTTCTTCTCATTTTCTCAACCAAGGATTATAACTATTCCTTCTCTTTCCACTAGCAAGATATATTTGCCGGCATCAGCGGCGATTGCCGCACAGTATTGAAAAGAAGCTCAAATGAACGACAAAAACAGCGAGTGCGGTCTACGGACAACTTGAACTCAATCCCTTTGAACGCGTCGATCTTCTCTTTTTCTCTGCACTCTCTCGTCCGCATGGCACTCTATGGCCGTTGTGACTTCGCTCACTCCAGCTTTTCACCGACTATAAGTAGCTCACCCACCCCGGAGTCCCCTCCCTTGAAAAATCCCGTTTCCTGGCTCGCCATACGTTTTTTGCACGTTTCGATGCTTTGGCAGCCGCTGCCCTCTATCCGTCTGCGTCACAGGGTTTCGTAATAGGACCATGGACAAAAGTTCTAGTCACGTGCGAAAACACCAATAACTTGTTCCAAATGTCATCAGTTTCAAAGCTATCTAACCAAATTACCTGGAACAAATCTCTTTTCAATGTTCTTTTCTACATTCTAAATTTATTCACTTTGATTTTACCCGTCGGAAAAGTCCTGATAAAGCCTATCAAGAGCATGAGTAATCCCTGAATTTTCCAGCATTGCACCAAATGGAACACATATGCGGAATCGTAAATGGTATGCAATTCAGGAGTGATTTGTAAACTGTGTTTATCTGACTATGAGCAAATATGAGATTCTTCTATACTATAGCTCCATCTTCAGGTTCACTATCAATCGATTGTCAAAAAATATGTACAATCTTACGCAGTGCCTCGGAATCGCTTACGTTCTGCCGCGCAGAGCCATGTTACGAATTCTAGATGTTGTCAGCAAGGAGCAATTCTTCTGGGTACGACTGCTTTCAACTCGTTCAAGTAAAGTTGCACTTCAGAAGTGCAAAAGTGAAAAAGTGTGGTAATAACGTAGCTAGCTAATATCAATATACACAAATAACGTAAATAACGTTTGAAAATCCTACTATATATAATCCGCTAAGTTTGTCTGTTGGTGTGAGTGTGTGTATGTGTGTGTGTGTTTGACCGGAAATTCATAACTTTCTTCAAAATAGCGATAAAGCGCTCAAACTTATAAGTGATGTAGGGGTCGGGCAGGAACACTATTGGTGGGTGGCAGGAAGTGATAACAGTTGATAAGATACCATAAGGGGCCTTATAAAGGCGAAGTCAGCAAATTCATAACGCGCGTCACAGCAAAGCTAGAGCGTTGGCTCCAAGAAGTAAGATAGGGGCAGGATGGGAACATTATTGGTGGGTGGCAGGAAGTGATAACAGCTGATAAGATACCATAAGGAGCCTTAGAAAGAAGGGTCACCTCCTCTGCTTCCTCCTCTGCACGTGCTCAGCTGGACCTGAGCATGTGCAAGTGAAGGATGCTCTGGGGAAGGGGAACGGTGAGGGGAGGGCGTAGTGCACGCTTGAGTAGGATAATAGCAGGAGGAGGATACAACCGATAGCAAATTGCAAGGTTGTCCATAATAAAGTAGCAATCTAACAAGGGAACCCCAACAGGTCGATCCGGCCATTTGCAATGAGATGTATATATGTGGACGTGTCTTGAGCCGCTGAATCCAAATCTGCCCTCCGAATTTGCGGAACGATTCTCTGAAGGGAGTTACGGACCATTTAATCTTTGCTCTGTTGCACAAGTTGAGAACGATAACTGCATGCGGCAAGCGGCCGATGGCCTAGTGGATAAGCGCACTGCTTCAGAGACACGAGGTCGCATGTTGGAATCCTTGACTCTTGAAAACTTTTGCTTTTGTTCAAAACACTTGATATGAGCCCCCAAAAACTTCTGTTTGGCCATTTTACCTAGTTCTTTGATTATTTGCCAACGGAAGGCGACCGATTCTTCATTTCTCTTTCCTTTTAAAAACTTTTATTATGAGGATAATCGTTTCTAGAGCTTGCATCGAGGAATGAGGATCTTACGCTTAAGAGCACATGTGGTGTTCTTCCACGAAATGATAGAAACAATAAAGTTCTCACAATGAGCACAGCGAATGAAAAAGTACCACAGTCACCAGTCCATTAAAAGAGCAGTACTGAAATTTCGTTTTTGATTATGAACGAATATTCTGTCTACGTGATCTGTGCAGAATTATCCGATATGATCAGCCCTCATGATTGTGATCTACCGACACGTGGCATTCCGCACAAAGAAATTGCGGTTGCTTTCTTGTTCTGTCAAGATGTTTTGCCCATGCTGGTACTGGTTGAGGGCTTCGGTTCCTGTGAAATAACACGCGTACCATCTCGGGAGGAACGGAAAGTAATAAACAGCTTTTGGTCTATCTTGCGAGACGCCGGATACGACAACCTAACAATCGGCGTCGACGAGGAGGACTATGTGGAAGAGGATGAGGAAGACCCCCTATGAAGCCCAGAGGACGAGGAGTGCGACAAGCTGAAAGGCGCGACAGAAGGCTCCTTGAAGGAGAAGGTTTGCCTTTCATCGAACAATGTGGTTCACGACTGGTTTACGAACTTCTTATCCTATTCTTGGTACTCGGCTGGATACTTCGATGCACATCCTGGTGAGTTCGAAACACCTCTTCAGTACTGCTTCCCCTCTGGACTGGTGGAGAACTGTAACTGTACCGTGTGTGCAGAGTACTTTTTCATTCGCTGTGCTCATTGTGAGAACTTTATTGTTTCTATCATTTCGTGGAAGAATACCACATGTGCTCTTGAACCGTAAGATCCTCATTCCTTGATGCAAGCTCTAGAAACGGTTATCCTCATAATAAAAGTTTTCAAAAGGAACCAGAAATGGAGAATCGGCCGCCTTCCGTTGGCAAATAATCAAAGAACTAGGTAAAATGGCCAAACAGAAGTTTTTTGGGGCTCATATCAAGTGTTTTGAACAAAAGCAAAAGTTTTAAGAGTCAAGGATTCCAACATGCGACCTCGTGTCTCTGAAGCAGTGCGCTTATCCACTAGGCCATCGGCCGCTTGCCGCATGCAGTTATCGTTCTCAACTTAAGCACAGAGCAAAGATTAAATGGTCCGTAACTTCCTTCAGAGAATCGTTCCGCAAATTCGGAGGGCAGATTTGGATTCAGCGGCTCAAGACACGTCCAAGAAACAATCTAAGATGTTGTTCTGATTGTGATAATACCTTCACCCTATACAGACAACCATTTAGTACACCCCATTCCATTGCTCAAGCTGCTCGCGTGGCAACTCGGATGTGAGCTCGCGCGTAGGTTGCTCCAACTATTACTATTCGATCAAAACAGCGCATTATGGGTAGCTGAAAGAACAAATTCGGTTCCCATTATGAAGTGTGCCTGGAGAAGCCAAGCCAGTTAAAGATAAGGAGGAGAGCTCGGCGTCAGCCGGCTGGTGTGAGAATATTTCACCATGATATCGATGTTATTACCATCGAAAAGTCTTTCAACCGCTAAGCTGTCCTATTTCCAACGGATGGTGAGTGTTTCTTAGAAATGTGATAAGCACCAGACATTAGCAAACGTTCATTAAATAGGAGAAACATAATGAAATGGGCCGTATTCCAAAAAATTGTAATCGGGCGAAGTGTTTGGGGTCAATACAGAAATCCTGTCAGCGATCAGTACCATTACCATAGGTTCAACCATACGCGCAGTAGTGCGCGTCAGCCAAGCTGGTAACAAAATAAGATCACTTGTACTGCCTGGCTCCTGTTGATCGTCATGTTGCTCCGCTACGTTGCAGTAACGCACCAAACGCACTGAGTAGTTTCTGTTCGCTTGAGAAACACGATATACATTATTCCATCCGTTCGCAGCTCTTGCTCTGGCCATCGCGCAGACTGCTTGCAGTGTTCGTTTGACGTACCGTGGAGTCTTGTTGGTATGTAATCGCTCACAGTCAGCGGTCATCATCGACCTCCTGCATACCTGATCGTAAGTACTGTGGCCTAAGCGGCGAAGTGAGTATTGAATCACGCTAATTACGTTCGTAGCTCTATTGGAGGCTAAGTCCCCAAAGCGTACGTCAATGGAGGAGAGACCGCAAAATCGAAGAGGTGGGCACAGAGCCGGGTGTTCTTCATCGTTGTTCTTTCGATATTGTTGAATGTTCAAAGTTTAGGCGTTCGCTTTTCCCTGCTCTGATGCTCAGCTCTGATGCTAGGTCGCCTACCATGTTGGTTTCCCAACCCAGGCGCAAACAGCTGGAAAACGTGTTTTGTGGAGCGAGAATAGGCATCTAGTGGAGTTGTTTTTTTAAGAGAGCTGTCTTCGTCAGATTCCGCTGCAAACCGACCCTTTCACTTGCGCATCAAAAATCAGCCAGCATTCGCTATGCTTCCTTGATGACCGGCGCTATTGTCGATGTCGTCAGCAGTGCGAAGATGGTGCAGTTGCCGACCTTCATTCTTCTCTGTCATTCTAGTTGTGGCGCAATCCACAACTAAGTGTGACCTGGCCACAAAACTGTAAAGAACGCATGAGAAAAAGAATCGATAGCAGGTAGGGTTTCACCGAAAAGTAAAATGGAATTACAAGAGCGCATGTAACTATAGTCTAAAAGGGAACCAAGAGCAAGAAAATTTATCGAGGGAAGCAACACTTATTTTTCAGGTGGACAACATTTTCGTGACTGGCCAATTAGCAGAACGAGCGGGCTTGGGCCATTCTGATATCGGAGGAAATGTGTCAACGCAGGCTAACTTCCAATGGAACTCGAATGCAGCGTTTACCTTGACGTCTAGAAATCGGATAGAACAGTTCTTTGTTATATCGAATGCAAAATGGTTCTTCAGGAACTGTTGGCTGAACAAAAACTGTGCAAGATTCCCAAAAAATAGCGAGTGACAACGAGGTACGTTCTTCTCCTTGAGAAATGGGCTTCATTCAAAACTGTAGGATTTTTGGTCCAGTTCACTCTCCGGTTAACAAGTACGGCTCATCCTTTACTTCTCTAACAACTAATTCATCGTAAACGGCAAATTATTGTGTTGAAGTGCCATCAACTCCCATAGTCCCATCTGCTGCGCCAAGGGCACCATGGCCAACCAGCGCAGGTATCACCTCCCACGCGAGGTGCAGATCGTTGGGAGAATCCCATCAGGGGTCGTATCATGTCACTGGAGGAAGAAGTCCAATTTGAAGTTGATAGATGTTCCGCCTCACCGCGAGCAGAATTTGTTTGGTTCTTGATTTTTCCTGTTTCTTTCGTGCTCACTACTCTTGTCCTGCTCCACACACGCCAGAAAATTGCAAGCACTCGATAGAATGCAGGTAAGGTAAAACCCATTGGTAGGTAGGTAGGTAGTGAAGGGGGTCGTACTGACATCCGCACCTATCTCCGATCTTATGCACTGTTACCACCTTAGCGTCTTGCTTGGAAGCCACAGTTCAGTTCCTATTCTTCTCAGTTCTCCTGAGCTTCCCTTCCCCATTTTCATCAATGATACGACCCTATATTCACACTATAGTTCAACATAATTCACATTGATCAACAAAACCCTTCTTTTTGTATCGCCATTCTAAGAGACTATTCACACGGGTTGACCAGCTCATATTGTGTCCCATCTGCTGTCTCTGTTCCTAATTTCATAATAAATTAGTTCTTTTTTCCATTTCCGTGCATTGATGTACTGCTTTAGCAACTTGTAGTTACCCTGCAACCCCTGTCGTCTTTCTTTCCACTTACGAATGGAATAAACTATTACATCAATTGCCATGTTTGACTCTCAATGAGCCTAGGCGCTGATATGATGTAGTGTTGCTGCTTGCTCAACGTCACGAGGCTAATACAACATTTAATGGTTGGCTGAGGTTTCGGTGAGTTCAGCGTCCTCGAAGCCGGCAACATGGAAGTCATTTTGTGAGCTACCCGATAAAATCTCTCGCTCCCTTGTGAAGACCTTTACCCCATCGCACCCATCACGTGAACAGCACCGAATGAA